CCCTGCTCCCTGGGTGTGGACATGCCTCCTGTGTAGATGGCCGTGCCCTCCCTAGGCATAGCCCTTCCCTTATTGGGAATGAACCTCCCATTGTGGACATGGCCCCACCCCATCTAGGCACAGCTCCTCCCATGTAGCCATGGCCCACCTCCCTGACCATAGCCCCTTCCCTGGACCATATTCTCTCTTCCTGGTCCATCACTCCATGCTCTGGACCATAACCCCTCCCCCAGTCCATAGCCACACCCTTGCCCAGGCCACACCCACTACCTGTCCCCGCCCCACTGAGGTGCCGCCCCACAGGTGGTGTACTTCACGGCCACCTTCCCCTACGTGGTGCTCACCATCCTCTTCGTGCGCGGCATCACGCTGGAGGGGGCCATCACTGGCATCATGTACTACCTGACGCCCCAGTGGGACAAGATCCTCAATGCCAAGGTGAGCAGGGACGAGGGGTGGTGAGTGGGCCGGGCAGAGCGGGGCTGGAGGCACAGCACTGACCATCCCACTGCTACAGGTGTGGGGTGACGCGGCCTCACAGATCTTCTACTCGCTGGGCTGTGCCTGGGGCGGGCTCATCACCATGGCCTCCTACAACAAGTTCCACAACAACTGCTACCGGTGAGCACCCAACCACAGCACCCCCAGCCCTGCCACTGCCCCTCACATCTGCTGCTGGCCCTGACTCCTCTTCCCACAGGGACAGCATCATCATCAGCATCACCAACTGCGCCACCAGCGTCTATGCTGGCTTCGTCATCTTCTCCATCCTGGGCTTCATGGCCAACCACCTGGGCGTGGATGTCTCCAAGGTGGCCGACCATGGCCCTGGCCTGGCCTTCGTCGCCTACCCTGAAGCCCTCACCTTGCTCCCCATCTCGCCACTGTGGTCCATCCTCTTCTTCTTCATGCTCATCCTCCTGGGGCTGGGCACACAGGTAGGTCCTGGTGGGGCCAGCATGTTCGGATGGGATGGCATGGTGGGGCCAAGGTGGTGACATGCTGCCCCCTCCACCCCATGCACAGTTCTGTCTGCTGGAGACGCTGGTTACGGCCATCGTGGATGAGGTGGGCAACGAGTGGATCATCCGCAGGAAGACCTTTGTGACACTGGGAGTAGCTGTGGCGGGCTTCCTGCTGGGCGTCCCGCTCACCACGCAGGTAGGTGACCATGGGACTGTGGTGATGGGGTGCCATTGCCATGGCCACCTTCATCAGTCACACCCACATTGTTGCCGCCCTGGTGGTGGTGACAGCCAGCGCCTTGTCTTGCTGTGCCAACACCAGTGCTGGTACCCAGACTGAAGTGTTGCCATGCTGACCCTGGCATCAGACGTTGCCATGACAGCTGTGGTGGTGGTGGTATTTGGGCTGTGTGTTGCTGGCCCAAGCACAGCATGGCTGTGCCATTGCTTTACTGACAGCAGTGGTACTGCTGGGGCAGCTGTGCCAATGGGTGGTGTCTTACAGGCGGGCATCTACTGGCTCCTGCTGATGGACAACTATGCTGCCAGCTTCTCCCTGGTTATCATCTCCTGCATCATGTGCGTGGCCATCATGTACATCTACGGTAGGTGCAACTGCCTACAGCTGATCAGCCAGCGGGGCTGACCCAGTCAGCCAGTGGGGAAGGGGGTGCGCTGACTTATAGCCAGTCAGCAGTTTGCTGTGTGCTAACTGGTGAGGCTGTTGGCCAGTCTGGGGAGGTGTGACCTGAGGGGCCCTCTTGGGGTCCCACCACTAGGGATCTGGAGCTGGTGGTGGGTGGGGTGTGAGGGTGCTCAGGGTCCCACCTGGGCTCACAGCCACTTGCCTCCCCAGGGCACCGCAACTACTTCAAGGACATTGAGATGATGCTGGGCTTTCCTCCCCCAATCTTCTTCCAGATCTGCTGGCGCTTCATCTCACCTGCCATCATATTTGTGAGCATCACAACCATGGGGCACAGGGCCATGGGAGGAGGGGGCAAGGAGCTCACTGGGACTTGACCCACTCCCTGGGGAGGAGGGTGCTGGGCTGCGGGAAAGCAGGGATGGGGCAGAATAGAACAGTTGTGGGGGCGCAGAGCAGGCTGGCTTCTCCCCACTAGCTGATCCTGCCTATCCCTTCCCAGTTCATCCTGATCTTCACAGTGATCCAGTACCGGCCCATCTCCTACAACGAGTATGTCTACCCCACCTGGGCCATCAGCATCGGCTTCCTCATGGCGCTCTCTTCCGTCATCTGCATCCCCATCTACGCCATCTACAAAGTGTGCCGTTCTGAGGGGGACACACTGCTTGAGGTGGGTGGCCAGGGGCTAGACTCCCTTGTCTGTGTCCCACCTGGGGCAGCCTGCAAGGCTGTCCCTCACCCCACTGCCGCTGTCAGCAGTGGCAGTGTGCAGGCAGCAGCCATGGGGCACCACATCTCTGGGCACCCCTGGAAGCTGCTGGCATGTTGGTGCAGGCTGGGGGCAAGGGGGAGCATGGTGGGTGC